AGGAGCTGACGGTGTGGGGAGGCCCGGGTGAGCCCATCCAAGGGTCCTCCTACGGCTGCCCCATGCCTCAGCGTGGTGTCCACTGGGCGGAAGGACTTCCACAAGGACTAGGACTATACCTGGTGCATTCTAGAATCAGAGAGTCCCAGGAAGCTGGGAGAAGACAAAATTGGGGAGCCTGAAGATCTGCAAGAGAAGACAGTGCACTTGCAGCCACTGGGACTCCCCTTGGGTGCAAAACCCACTGTGGCTTCTCCAATGCCACTGTGTTCAACCCATGGAGGCTCCAAGGTGACAGGACAGAGGTAGGGTGGAAGTGTCCTCCTCTTATCCACAAGACATCAATCCCCCAAACCATGGGCTGCTCGTTGCCCCTTTTGGAGTGAGCAGATCTCTCTGGGTAGGTCCTGGCAGTCAGGCACTGACAGCCCTGCCCTATCCCTCTTCCTTTGGGTCAGTGCCTGGTGGAACCCAGGGGCTTCCAACCCCGCTAGGAGGGAGAACTGGGGAAGGAGGAGCAAGGTGAGGGTGTCGGCAACACCGAGCAGAATCCTAGCACAGATTAGAAGCCAGAACACTCAGTAACTCTTCCTAAACCATCTCCCCATCACGTCTCTGCCCAGCGCCACGGTGTTGTGACCTCAGAGTCCACTCATCCAGGCTGCCACCTGGGGGATGGGGGGAACAGGTGGAGGACATGGCCCCCACTCCCCTCAGTCAGCACCTCCCTCTCCTGATCCCACCCCTCCACACTCCCACCCCAGCTGCAGGCTCTGGAGTGGCCGGCCCCACATCAGATCAAAGCCCTGGAGGACGGAGTTAGAACTGTCCAGTCCAGTTATGAGTGAAGGCCATGGATCTAGTGCAGGCCACAGAGGCAGAAAGCAGAAGAGCCTCCCACGCATGCACAGACACACATGGCTGCCCACCCAGACGCACCCGCCCCCAGGGCTCAGCCCGGTGTTTTGATGTCGGCAGACACACCCGGGAAGATTGGCTGACACCCCCTTGGAGCCGGAGGCACCAGCTGCACGCCTGGGACATCCCCATCACCCGCTGCAAGACCGTGTCGCCAGCCCCCCCTTCTGCTCTCTCCTGTCACTCCCCCTGGAGGTCAGGCCTCCAGAGCGTTCCTGGAGGGCTGAGCCAGCCCATATGGCTGGGAATATGTTGCCAGCACGGGCGAGTCCTCACTGGGGCCCCTGCGGTTGGCTGTGACAACTTCACACTCGCTCCAGCCAGGCCTCTGGCTGCTGTCTGGGCTACACAGCACCCACTTAGGGGGCTTGTAGATGGTTTGGCTATTACAGCATCACTGCTGGGACTGCCTGTCCTGTCCTGACACAAGCAGACGATTCCAGGCCCAGGAGAGCGGGGCCTCACATCAGGGACCCTGGAAAAAGGCACAGTGGTCTAGGTCAAGCCTAAGGAAGGAAATACAGCAATTCACACTGTGAATTGTGGAAAGACTTTCCACGTGGAAAGACAGCTAGGATCTCTATCCGTGAGCTGGGGCTGGAGACTAAACTGGCCATTTCTGGAAATGATGGAGTCTTAGACAAACCCATTTCTCAGCTCTCAAAGCTGATCAACTGAGGTTCTTTGTATCCAGGTGCAGAAATAACATTTAAAGCCACAGTGAGAGGACTTATACAAGTTTCTAGGCCCAACCTCAGACCCAGTGAAGAATCCATGGAGCAAAGGCACAAAACAGGCTTCCATGCAAAATCTTAAGGCCACAAGGACAGTGAGCTGGGATATCTCTGCTAAAATCGGCACTGGATATAAGCAGGCCTCAGGCCTTCCCCCCACATGGTGATGACCCAAGGGTGCTAACACACTCCACCAAGCTTTCCTAGCAACCAGCCCAGTGCCCAGAGCGGTGCTTCTCCCCCTGGCACTGCCAGGTGGGGACATGAGAGAGAGGAGATGTAGAGCTGCACATCAGGGGCCTGGAATGCCAGAGCCAACCTGAGATCTTGTCTTTTCTGTCCCTGATCAATCCACCAGCAAGGCCAGTTCACTCCCCCTATAAACACACAGGGCCTCTGCCCTCTTTTCTCCATTTCCCCCTTCTGTCTCAGTCACTTGCAGCTGATGTCAAATAGAGGAAAGGAGTAAGAACAACAATAAAATCTGTCTGTGGGATGTTCCCAGGGGAAAGAGAAAGGTTCCACTTGCTTCCTAAAATCAGCAAAAGCCCCCTCCCAGAATGTAACCTGGTTGGCTGAATCAACCTCTCACTACAGGGGCTGCAGCAGCCTCCCTCTCTGGTTTCTGCCCTTGCCCCCTCAATCCATGCTCACCATAGCAGCCCCAGCCTTCTTCTCAAAACAAAATCACATCACTTCACCTCCCTGCTTTAAACCCTCTAGCGGCTCCCCCATCACCCAAAAAACAAAGCCCCAACTTCCCTTGGCACAACACACCCTACAAGCCCTGGCCTAGCCCTGTCCACTCCCAGCACTGGGGCCTCTTTCTGTCCACCAAGCACCTTGAGCTCTCAGCCTCAGTTCCTCTAGACTATTTCTCTCCTGCTGAAAATATTCCACCCCTCTTAGGATGGGTTTCCACTTTCAATTCCTCCATCTCAGCTAATCATCATCTCCTCAAAGGAGGCTCCTGGACTGCCCAGTCACTTTCTACCACCTCATCCTATTTCCATTTCGCACTGAAGATTTCCTTGTCATTCTTTTGGGGTGGGTTTATCTGTTGTCCGCTTACCCAACCAGAATTCCACGAGAGCTGGACTGTCTTGTCACTCTATCCCTAATGATCAGAAGATACCAGGCCCTCCATAAGTGTTGAATAAACATAACAAGATCTTCTGTGGCACAGCAAAAAGTGGGGAGAATCTGAGTCAGACAGGATCAGGTCTGCAGATCAGACCTGAGCACAGACTTGCCCCAAGCCCACACTCTTGTGTGGTGAGGCAGGACACCTCTGAGATCTCAGATCACTCAGACTACAGAGGACCCCAGACTGTGGCCAAAGGGCTGGGTGAGTGAGGAGGGGCTCGGCCACAACATTCCTGCTAGGAGCCCTCTGAGTTCCCAAGCTTCACTACCAGGACCAAGACGGCCGATGCCAGGATGTAGGAGTCCCCGAGGACTCACAGAGCCCATGCCCTATGCCGGGTACAAATCCCAGCTGGCATGGCCCCTGGGAGTCAACAATGAGTGGAAACTTCAGAAAGGGAAAAACTAATGGGCATGTTTTGCCGAAGGAAAGAAGAAAACAAGAAGCCTGCCACTGAGGACAGAACCACCAAACACTGCCCCCTGGAAAAGGGGCTCCACAGACACGCTGGCAACTTGCTCACATGCAGGGCACAAGCAGCTGGGGAGACCATCCACAGGCTTGAGGATGCCTGGGCTTGTCATCCAAGACCCATGAACATCAAGGAAGCAGAGTTGGACAAGAAAAGCCCAGGAAAGGAGCAGAGTCGTAGAGGAGTTGGTGCTGACCCAACTGGACGACTGCACAGCCACCAGTCTAAGCAGACTCATTGCCATCAGGGGAAAACCGCTGCACATCCTCAATGTGGATGAACCAGTTCCTGGACACTGGGAAGACGAGTCTCAGCCACACAGTTACTCCACCACAGCAACCAAAGGCCATGCTTACAGCTGATCTTCAAATCTCTAGCCCTTATCCATGGCTTCTTCTGCTTCCCAAGGTGGCACGACCCAAAATGACCAGGCCTGCAGCTCTGCAGACCACTTAAACCTCAAGGAGCACCAAGGCACCCTTCTCTGTAAGTACCTCCTCCCTGCAAGTTCAAAGTCTAGAGTTGCAGCACTTGGCCACTGGAGGGAGGGGCGGGACACGCCTGCCCTTGGCGCCCGTGGTGCCTGCCATGCCTGACCCTACAACCAGAGCACAGGTGGGTGAGTCGGGGCTGCCGCCTCCAGTCGGCACACACAGGAGGAGCAGCCCCCAGGCCTGCCTTCCCAGCCATGCTCCAGGGCCTCAGTCTCAGCCCCACACCCTAAGATGCTGTCCACCAACTTTATCAACCCAAGCCCTCTGGGCTGGTCCCTTTGGATCGTAAGAGAATACTGACTAATGATCAATATGTAGTAAGTTACCTGTTTTGTATCAACCCTCCCCGCTACAGGTGTCCCAGGTGATGTAGTGGTAAAGCATCTGCCTGCTAATGCAGAAGACTCAAGAGACACAGGTTGGATTCCTGGGTCAGGAAGACCTCCTAGAGAAGGAAATGGCAACCCATTCCAGTATTCTTGCCTGGAAAATTCCATGGACAGAGGAGCCTGGCAGCCCATGGGGTTGCAAAGAGTCGGACATGACTGAGCACACACTCATACATCCACCTTGTGATCTGCCACATTTGACACCTGCAGGCAAATATCTGACAGTACCGGCCCCATAGGCTACCCATCCCAGGTGTAAGTAACTGTCTTAAGCATGGGGCTAACTTCTGAGCCAGGGTCAAAAGATACCTGTGTCCTCTTCTCTAAGGTGGGTCCTGCCTGGGCTGGAGGGCCACCAAGAAGCCCCAACAAGTCACACCTGAGCTCAGAGCAGAGCCGGAGCTGCTGGATACGTAGAGGGGTCGGACCTACCGTTCCCAGAGATGATGTTCAGAAATGACCCATCAGGTGGCTCCAGCCAAGTTTGCCACAGGCCTCAACTGGAGTATCTGCATGCTGCTGGCACCACCCAATGTCATACAGTGGTGATGCTGGGAGGATTCTTCAAGGTCAGTGAGTCCCACCTCTTTATTTTCCTCGTGGGGAAACAGAGGTCCAGAGGGGAAAAAGTAGTGAGATGAAGTAGAGCCAGGGCCAAAATGCAGATTCCTAGGCCCAGGCTCTTTTCTCAAACCTGCACATTCTCAGTTTTGCTTAGGGGAGCTAAGCTACCACCACTGAGAAAGGCCGATGTAGTAGCTCCCCTGAGAAGGAAACCCTGGCCTGGCCAATGACACTCCCACCCACATTCCTCAGTGACATCTTGGGAATCTTGGGAGTGGTTACCTTTGCATCCCAAGAACCTGGGGTCCGAAGTCCATTCCCACACACACCACTGGAGCAGCAGGACCCCCTTCTATAGGAAGGGCCAACGCTGAGACAGCAGGAAAGGCAGGTAAGATGGATGGTCTTCGCCTTCACTCAGCGAGGTCTGTTTGCCTACCAAAAGGAGAAAGGAAAACAGGTTTATTTGGCTACTGTTGAGACCTACAGAGCTATTCAGAGAGAAGGACAATAGAGGGTAAGGTTCAGACAACTTGCACGGCAACTGGCCAAGAAGGTAAGAGATTCTCAGGCCTTACCTAGCAATCAGCAGATGGCAACACCATGGTGCATGCCATGCCTGACCATACAACCAATGTACCCTTTGCACGATTATTAGCCAACTGCTACAGGGTTGTCCCACCTAATGAAAGAATCAAATGGGTAGAAATGAAAATAGGCCAATCAGGTGCCACCCCAGGTAACAACAGAGTGACCACACCCTAGACTCGGCACCGGGGGTGAAAGGTCAGCCTGACAATGAATCAAGCTGACACTGGAAACCAGATCAGACCCACACAACCAAACCAACCCTTGGCCTCTCCAGCCTCTTGCACCCTTCAGACTTCCCCTCGGCCATCTCCCAGCTGCTCCCCTGACCCCCCACAGTGGCCTTATGGGAGTCTCTAAAAATGGAATAAGCAGGTGTCTCTACAGCTACTACGATGGTGAGTTTGGCCTCTTCTCTTTCTTTTCCCCTCCCCATGCTGGCTCTGTGCCCTTACATCTCATAAAAAAAAGAAAAGAGGGTACACACACATGCCCCCCCAAAGGGGGGCATATCATTTGTGATATAAGTGTTGGGCCAGAAAAAAGTGGCCAAAGAAACTTGGTAGGTTTGCCCTGCTACCGGCAACCTTTGTGTCAATTTAAGCAAATATTGTGGTGTTTCCATGGTGATTCCTGTTTTGAATATCCACTACACTCACTTTTTAAAGGGCTTTTCCTGTTTGCGTTTTAACTCCAAACCTGTAAATATTTTCAGCCTTTTTAGAAAAATTAGCCCACGTGCGTGCAAACACAGACACACCACCAACACCAACACACAACCTCCCGGGCCTGGAGTTCCAGTCTCACAGATGTGAGAGTGGGGTGCAGGAACCCCGAGTGGGCTGTCTCTCTGCTCTCACACCCACCCGGCACACAGAGGGCTGGCATCAGGGAGGGTGGAGCCTAAAAGGCTGGTCCTTCCCTTCCCCCTCTGCCGGGTCACTGCAGCACCCGCAGCGCCTGGCCTGTGTATTCCTAAAGCCTGTGAGTGGGCTCGGCCTGACTCCACAGTGTGGCATGGTGTGGGCAGCTGCCTGGCAGGTTCTCCCACTTGGCCCAGCCCCTGGATCCCGTGGGGCCTCCCTGGAGTGCACGAACCCCTCCTCTCCTGCCTCCCAAGGTTGGGCCATGAGGGGAAGGGGGTAGTTGGTGCTCTGAAGGCCAGAGCTTCCAGCACCAGCTCCACCCCACCTCTGCTCTGGGCAATGCCACCAACCCCAGCTCCCCGGAGAAGCTTCGGGTCGGCCCTGCCACAGTGGTCCCGGGCTTGGAGCAGCCCAGCTCCCACCCCACCCTTCGGCAGGGTTAACAGCGGGTTTCCTGGTTTCCATGGATTCCCGCCAGGCCCCTAATGTGAGTTTCGTGTGATTTGGGGGAAGTGAATTTCCTTTGTTTTCCAGTTTGGGAATATTTTTTTCTTTAAAAAAGAGGAAAAAACACTTTAATGGGAACTTCAGGGCCACTGAGAGACTCACTCCTCTGGGCTCTGACACGCCCCTCACTGTTGGTTCAGAACCCCCCAAAGCCTGGGGCAGCTTACCCACTGACCAAGCATCTCTAAGCTGGAAGATGGGGTGCCAGCCATCACCTACTGCTCCGCACCCCCAGATCACGCTTCTTCTGGGGGGCTCTACTCAGATATCCCATCAGAAGGACTGCTGCCCCACCTGAAAGCCAGCTGCTTACACAGCTGGAGGACACTCCCCCGCTTCCAGGCACACAGGTTTCCCCAGAGAAAAGGTCAAGAGACACGGGTAGGGTTCCTCCCTGGCTCCTGGCAAAGAGCTAGAAAAACCTGAGTCTGACCACACACAAAAGGTGAACATGAGTAAAACCAGGGTCTTATGTCCTAGTTCCGGGGTTTTTCCAGTTACAGGGGGAGGGGTCTTCCAGACCCTGGTGGGGACTTTGGCCTCTGCCAGCTGAGGGAGGGGCGGTTCCTGGGCAGAGGGACCATCTCAGCTTTGGCAACAAGAGCAACTGAATAAAGGGTGTGGCCAGGCCTTCTCCTCCTCCTCCCCATTCCTGCATCCTCCAGCCCTGCCAGGGTGCGGGCATGCCCCAGGACCGTCCCCAACCAAGTGACCTGACCAATTTACCAAACCAGGGCACAGGCCCCAGGGCCTGCCATGGTCAGGGCCCTCCCACAGCACAGGCCCTGGCCCTTGGCAGCAGCAGAAATCTTGGTCAGTAGGTTCAGAGCCCAAAGGACAAAGCTCTCCGGCCAGCAAGTGAAGGGGTGAGGTCAAGTGCAGGCACAGAAATAACACTGGGCTGAGACTCAGAAAACAGGGGTCTGAGTCTCAGTTCTGCCGCTTAACTCACTGTGGGCCCACGGACAAGCCATGTACTCTCCCCAGGGCCCGAAACCTTACTGGTCCAACAGTGGTAACGCCTTCTTTCTGCCTACCTAGCAGATGTGGAGGATCAACAAGAGACGTGAAAGGCATTCAGAGTGTTCTAGAAAAGCTCTTGATTCCCAGCACCCTCTTCTTGCAAGTCTCTTCAAGGTAACTTTTCAGAAGCTACCTCAAGCAGGCCCATGTGCCCCTCTACTCCCTTCCTCGTGAAACCTTCCCTGTGGCATTTAAATCCAGACTAAAGTCATTTGTGCACGAGTCTGTCTCCACCACTGATTTTTAACTCCTCAAGGGCAGAGACCAGGTCTTAATTATCGTTGTGTCCCCAGCATTTAGCACAACAGCTGGCCCGCTGTGGGCAGCACAAGTGTTTGTGAGATTGAACTAGTCCCTGATTTCATGTCAGAATCAGATGGGCCTGGCGCAGCTTCATGCCCCTCCTCTGACAGGAAATTTTATCACCTACTTTCATGCCCGCTTCTGCTTCGTTCCTCTAAGCCCCAACCTGTGTCCTGGTCTCTCCCAACTCCTCCATCAACACCATGAATTCATAACTTTCAGGTTCAACGAGATGGCTTGGTTACATGACCCTCCTCCCCCTAATTCTGGTAAGAGGTGATTGAGCACCTACTATGTGCCAGGAAACATGGTGGGAGTGGAGGGCACACCCTCTGCCAAGAGGCCTATGTGAGAAAAAATGATATTAATTTTCCAGATGCCTTCTATTCACCAAGCAGCGTGCCGGGTGCTTGTGTATGTGTGACCTCATTGAATCTTTACAACATGAAGTAGGAAGGATTATGATCCCCGTGGCTAGATTGGGGAAGGCAGGCACAGAGATACATACCAAGTGACTTTCCAAAGATCATAGAGCTCACAAGTGCTGAAGCAAGGCCTGGACTCAGGCTGACAGGCTCCAAGGCCCAACTCACTTGAAAGTTCCCCTCATTCCTACCCATGACCTCAGTCTCCACCCACACCTAATGTTTTTTCCCCTCCTGAATCTCAGTTCTCCTGCCCTCCAAACAGGTCTCCATCAAATCCTCAGAGTCACCCAAAAGCATTCAGAGATTACAGCCCAGAGGGAAAGCAAAGTCCAGGCTTAGGTTGGAGGGAGGTGAGACCTACGGTGATATACCGGGTGAGCAGGAAGAACCCCTGGATCCACCTGGTCAACAGGGTCCCGGCTGTGGGTATGATCTCCTGGAGAAGAAGGGGTTGAGCCAGCCGACGTTGTCACTTGATGGGATAAGGACGAGGAAGCCACCCAGGAGAGGGCCGCTCTGAGTCAGGAGGCCCTCTGGGCATGGGACAACTTCTATGTCTTCTCTCCAGACTCAGAGTAAGCCAAGAGGCTTTATCCTGGGATGGGTGGGTAGGTACACAGAGATTTCTGCTGCCTCCCCCACATTAACACCTCCTGCTGCAATGAACACCTGCTTCAGAGATGCAGGGCTGAGAAGCGAGGCCACAAGATCCCCTGACCTTAGTTGAGGCAGGGGTCACCTAGTATCTCCCCAGTGGTGAGAAGTCACTGGGAGGTGTGGCAGGGAAAGATCTAAATCCAAGAGGATAAAGAGGTGGAAGATCAGGCCAGGTGGGGAGAGGACAGAGCCCTAATGAGCAGATTTCATAAACCACCTGGAGTGAAAACAAAAACACAGACGTGCACATTGCCCAACTTCAGGGCTGTATGGAAAAGGGGAAAAAAAAAAAACAATAAAAAAATCCACATCTTAATACAAAAATCCTACACGATGTGTTGTGGCACGAAAATGTTTTTCACTGCATTTTTCATCTGTGATCTCACACAGCCTACGACGGGTACGCCCAACGCAGGAGGTATTTGATGGTACACAAACAGGGCAAACACATACACAATGGACCAAAACAAGGGCAGCAAAGATTCAGATTGGCCCGAGCTGGCACCTCATGGCTTCAGGTGGCCTCTGGAGATGGCTACACTGGCTCCAAGCATGGGCCCCCTTTAGATTCCTGAGGGAGGAATAAACAGAGCAAGAACAAGCTCAGATGGAAAGAAACATGAGTTCTGAGCACTCAGAACCAGCGGAACTGCGGGCCAGCTGGTCGTGTGGCTTTCTCCACTGACGGTGCTGTCCCGCCATCGACAGAAACCAGAGAGGGAACGCACACCCCGAAGGCCCCTCCTGTATGTCACTTACCCCACAGTTACTATCTGTCTCCTGTTTGCTCCACCCCTCCTCCCTTTTAATTGTTGGATGAGTTTACAGAGCTGTGTGCCAAAAACAATCAACTCTAGGGAACAGAGTTATACAAAAAAGGGCGTGTCGCTGGAGGGAGACGGATATCCATGGAAACCGCCACCTTTTCTCACTAGCCTAGGTAAAGCCAGGGGAAGGGGAAGGGGGAGGGGTGGGGTGGGGTGGGGCTCCACCCAGAACAGGGCCCCAGAAAATGCTGGGGTCGCTGATGACCTGAGGGAGCCACGTCTACTGGGGAGGGTCA